AATCACAGGACAGATATGGAAATGGTACCTAAAATATTAATTGTAATAATTCCTTAGGAAAAATTACTGCCTTTTTCTAAAATTTTTCACTTGTGTATAGGTGTTACTTCCCAAAGGCAAAATGATTCCATGAGAATATAATTGTCCTGGACCCTAAGACAATTGTTGGCACCTCATGCCATCAAAATAATAGGCAGAGGATAGCCTCTGTATTATTATTTCTGTAAAGTGTCACTTAGCCTTCCAATATTTTGTAGTAAAAATTAGAGGAAAGGTGCAACAACCTAAAAGAAGCAGAATTGTTAGTGGCACAGACACTTCAGCAATGAGGATCTGGATCACCCACCACAGTAAGTAACTATAATTAACTGAGAAAAATTTTGGGAACAAGGAAAATATAAAATGCACGGTGTAAGAATAACATTATAGATACCATCTGTGATCTCATGTGATCTCATGGAACCAGTTATGGTTCCATGAACAAACATGAGTTCTCTAGTAGATGAGCGTCTTCTTTGCTTCAAAATATATTTGTGTGTGCATAATTGTGTGTGGACACTTTTGACTTAAAATAACCTATTAAAACCCCACTGTAAAATGAAAATATCAGAAACCAAAGCATATTTTATAACTTACCAAATCTCATAGCAGGGCAAAATAAAATTAGCAAAATATCTAGTACTTACTCACATGCTTTTGTGGCTGACAGGTGAGGCTCTCTGCCACTGTGCAGAATCTAAGTATTTAGTCAAACTATGCCTTCTACTTCTATGTCACTTTTGCACAATCAAAAAATCAAAAAGATGTAAGTAAATCCATTGTAATCAGAGACCATCCATATATAGCAATTTCTCCCTTCTGTAATTCCCTACTCTAACAAAAGATGTACTAGTTGTGGTTAACTCTATCTCAGGGTTAAAATTTTAAGATATTCAAAGGAAGATTTAATTAGTTGAAAGCACCAGAAGTAAATCGCTTTGTGTGCCCCTCTTCCGGACAGAACAAGTTTTTGTTGTACAAAGAGTAGTATAACAATTTTAGATGAAAAGGTGTCTTTGTTTTTACCCTTATCTAGAAGGAAATGTGGTTAATACAAGTATGAGAGCTGCACTGACAAGAACTATACTGTACTGGGTCATACTTAGTTTGCTGAGACTGGGAACTATAATTCCCAGAATTCCATGCCCTGTATTGTTGAGAAGAATAGTAGCTGGCCCAAGAAGGAACTGAGATGAGATTTGTCAGGTACAGGCAAAACAGACATCAGCAAAATCAAGGTACGCAGTAATGTCCAGACTGTCTTCTCTTCCTTACTCCACATCCAGCTGTCCTCCTGTGCCCTTGTTGACCCACCACAAGTTGCCCACTCCAGATGCACAGAGTTCATAGCTCTGAAGAAGACACTGGCTTCCCACCAACTTCCTTACTCCTCCCACCCACATGGGAACAATGTGAGTGACTGGACCTATTGGGCTTCACAAAGTTCCTGAACATTCCCACTTGTCCACCCTCACTGGATTTCAACAGATTAGTTAATGACACTCATATCTTCCAATTTTCCTCTACCAGACTTTTGCTTCCTTGCTCTTCTGCTTGTGTGAGACATTTCTTTAATACCCTTATTGCTACATATACTTTCTGAGACCAATTTTCTGGCTCAATTCTGACTGATAAAGGAAGCAGGCCACAAAATTGTGGTTTTGATACTCATTTTCTTCACAAAGCTCTTGAAAGACTCCAAAACACACATGAGATAATGTATTATGAAAGTATGGACCATTATAAAATGAACAACCTAACAGGAAGCCTAGAACTCAGCCTGGATATTCAGGTAATAACTGTCCTTTCAGTTCTATATCCACTAAGTGAATTAAATGGCATTACAGTGCTCCTTGTTGAGAAGCAGCCAGCAGAGGACAAAGATACTATCATTCTACAAAGTAATAAAAGTGAGAGTTATTTAGTACCCAGTATGGAAGCATTATTGGACTGCATTTTACTTGTTACCTCCTATCTCCATGAATCCTGCACATTAAGTATTATCCGTATTTTACTGAGAAGGAACAAATGTCCAGAGAGTGTATAGAACCTGCCCAAATTGTAATGCGAATCCATCCTCAATCTCAACTCCAAAATAAGTGCTCCTCCTAGGAAGATATATTGGTACTTCACAGAAACTTCATTAAACTTTACTTGCCCTTCCCTTTCAGGTCCCCATCAAGATCTCTTTTTCCTTATGTCTATACACTTCATGCTAACTTCTACCAGTGTGAAAACCTTGTAAACCATGCACTGTTTCTTCCTATACCCTCTCCCAGGAGGCTACAACATAGAAAGGGTTTTGATGAGCAAAATGGTATGGTGTTTTACTGACAAATATGGCTGGATATCTTCATTTGCATGGTCTTAAAATTAAAACATATTCATTAATTTCTTTAGCAAATATTTACCATACTTCTGATTAGCTTGTAAATGAACACTGAAGCAGTGATGAAAAAAATCTCATCAATCAGGTATCTAACTGGTACTTTCCACATATTTTCAATAAGAAGATGAATTAACATTCAAGGTAGCCATTCCACTCTTGTCCAGTTAACTGTAAAATAAAATCTTTTTTGTTGTTGTTCTGAACCATCTGTCCATCATGATTCTATATGGAACAAGCTCGATTCACTTGGGTCATATGGTAGTGCTTATAATGTTTGCTCCTCTTCCTTCCAACCTAATTAGTGGCTTAGGATTTCAGCCTTCAAGCAGCATCCATGAACATAAATGTCAAGAACTTAATGTACAAAGAACTCACTGAAACACCAATATTGTCAAATGGTGCCAACATTGGTTAGCTGTTTTACTTTTTACACACATGGAAACAGACTATGAACAATTTGAGGCTAGGTTTCTTAATCATCTCTTCATCCTTTTTAAACTTAAGTGCACACAGAAATTGGGCAATTTAATAGGTGGTAAATGAGTTAATTCCTAATACTGCATTTGATCTTTACTTAAATCAGTCAGTAAATAACATTATTTGAGCACCTATTACTGGTCAGACATGGTACAAAGGATGAAATCAAACACATTTGTCCTCACACCTAATAATCTGAAACTGCTGAAGTAAGAAAATTCTCTTCTGATGATTCATAGAATTAACCTAGGGCCTGGGCAATACCACTGCTGAGTTTCAATTTCCACCCATTCTATTTACTTGTTGGACAAATGATCTATGAAATTATTCAAATCCTCAAATTATTATAAGGGGTATAGAATTATAAAGTATCATATAAATTAACACCTAAGATTATTAATTATGCTTAAAATTTGAACACTGCCCCAAACAGCTGTTCATCTTAGTTCAGAAGCAATTCAGTAACCCCAATGAACACATGCACATCATTATATAAGTCACAGAAATATCCAGCAATTCTAGAACTGTTTTTAATCCATATCACTACTGTATAATTAACTTCAAGAGTAAAACATTTTCTTTTGACGTTCTCTATAAAATCTAGTGCATTTCAAAAAATGGCACTTAATAAGTGACTTAATGGAAAACAATTTAAAAATTAAGGATTCTAACATGAATCCCACTAAATTGTATATAAAAGTATATATCTGTAGGCCACTTTGTAGAGTTCTTTGGTTTTATCCAAGTCTCAAAGAGATTATCTAAAAACCACCTCCTTTAGTATATATTAATTGAATATCAACTATTGGCCACACATTTTAATAGGGTTTAGGCTCAGATCCTAAAACCCTTTATAAGTAGTAAATGCATTTTCTTTCTGCATAATCATTAAACATTTTGCATCTTAAAATCACATCAGATACTGTGGTAATTTGTTTGCTGATAAAATGTTTTAGATATATATTCCTATTGGCTCCACTATAAAGGTTTCATAGTGGTAAAACTGATCAAAATTTAATATGTATTTATATATAGACATCTACATCTATATATACACATGAATATAAATTTAATTAAGGAAAGCTTTAGTGAATCATGCTGTTCAAATTGCTTAAAATATCTAATTCATGCCACAGCTGGGTTTTCGCTTATTCCTAACAATAACAATGAAGTTACTGTCCTTTTACAAAAATGATGACATATAAAGAAAACTTCATAAAATTGTTTTGCAAGCAGTTTCCTCAGGGACTTTCTACTGACTAAAATAAATAGCTTTCAAGTGTTCCAGATGGGGAACAAAATGTAATTTTAAAACCTCAAGAATACCTCTAAATTTTAATGGCAATTTTCCCCTGTGGAAATCTTATCTCTCCTCAATGCAGTTAGCATCATCTATATTGAATCAATCAATATTTTGTCTGAGCAGGCATTTTAGTTTTTTGAACAAAATTATTTTTACCTTTGAGAATGGGTACCATATTTTGTCACAAACATACGTAGAAAGGCTATTTCCCCAGATAAAGGCATAAGAACACTAAAATAGTAAAATTATTCACAGAAGAAATGAAACACACTATACAATATCAAAATTTTAATGCAGAATGATTTCAAATGGTCATTTCCAAAATGGTTACTTTACACTTTCAGGAAACGTGTTTCTAATTCACTTTGGGGAACTGAGCTGCAATTAGTGATAGTGGCCAGAAGATGGAGCAGTCTCATTTCCTAAGAATTAATTGGCTTTTGTGCAATTCACAATGCTAAGAAATTTTAAAATGTGGTATTGATTTTTGCAAATGGTAGCTAAGATTAGAAAAATAAAACACTCAAAAAATGAGAATTTCAAATTTCTCAAAATTTTTACTTACTATTAATCACATCTGAAAATGTAAATTTTTAAAAAAATATTTTGATAACTTTTTTATCTTGTGAACAGGAACAAAATATAAAGAAAAAGCTTCAGAAAATCATTACTAAATTTGTTCAAATTTTAATTCCTCTTGGATCATTTTATATTATGCTGGGTTACTCTTTACAACTATAAACTACTGCAGCTATAAACCCCACCTTTCACTAAAAGTATAGTTTTAAAATAAGAACTTTATGGTTGACAATTTAGGCAAAAATATTATTAAATAAGATTTTTCCTAAAACAGTTTTATTCAAAGCATGTATAAGGTTCAAACATTTCTTTCACTTAATAAATGCTAAAGAATCTTCAAACCTAAAGTATTTTTTATACTGCTTGCTAAAAAATATAGAATTTTTAAGGCCTAGTATATTTGGGGTACTTCCCCAAATTTCACCCAAATGTGAGTGAAATATGCTTAATGACATATATTAAGAGATGTGTCTGTGTGTTGCACAATTCTAGAAACACTCCAGAAAGGGATAATGGGCAGATACATTACAGATTGTCCTGACTGGATCTAATAAATAGTCTAGCACCAGTCATTGTTGTGTTTTTACTAGGAAGGTAGGAAGAATCCCTAATAATTCCTGAAAAGGCATAATCCAAAGTTGGCCGAAAAGGCAATGCTGGAACCAACTGAGGCGTTAGGTAAGGTGACATAAAACCTGTTAGACCTCTTCCTGGAGAAGAATATGCCAACTGTAATGGACTAATAGCTAGTCTGGGATTTAAGCTGTAAAGACTTGAATCACCTCTGTAAGAAGCAGATGTGGTCTGAAGAGGAGAAAAAGCTGATTTGTTACCAAGAGTTCCAAAACCAATTCCAGCTAGACTAAAATTTGAAGCTCTCTGAAAAGCTGTCTTTTCCAAGTCTTCTGAATGTGCCAAGTCCCCAGTGTCTGGCTCGTGTTCTTTTCCGTTTAAAACTTGTTCAATGGCTTGGACCACATCTCCTTTGCAGAGCTTCAGGATGTCTTCTAGCTGGCTACGCCGGTAGCTTGGAAAAATCTTGGTAAGAATATCAATAGGGTCTCTTGGCCGTGAGGACACTGTGGGAAATCCAACTCTGGTAGCAATGCAGTCCTTGGTCCACTCACTCTCATTTCCTGACTCCAAATCAGAGGATGACAGGGATCTGGGACTGTCTTCACCTCCTGATTGCTCTCCAGGGCAAGGAGTCAGGAAGCTATCAGGTTTCTCTGAGTGTTCTGAAATAGATGACCTGAGACTTTGTTTCCCAATGACACCTGCAGACTTAGGAGAGGATCTCAGAGAAAGTTGATGGGATTTGGAGACTGGCTCATCTTGTCTACTCTGGCATGAGTCACTTTTACTCTCTTTTTGTTCTGCAGAAGGGAAAATAAAGATTCAAATACAAGAAGAATTTCCCAGAACCCAGTACTGTCCACTCAGAAATAATATTGGATAAAATATCTCATTCACTCATAATATATGTGATATTTATTCACATTGACACATTTTAATTAACAGCTCAATTTAAAAGATCTTTCAAATTTTGTAATAGTGGGAAAATTCTTTTTTTATGTCACTTCAAGATCACAAAGACATACGCTTCTTAAACATATAGTATTAAGGAATGAGAAAAGGAAAGTCTGCTATTACTGAAAAGTGTTAATATCAACCAATACTGCACAGTTTGACCCACAATGGTGGTTTGGGATTTCCCCAAATGTCTTCCAAGTTCTGGCCTTACCTATATGAAAATGTTTTGTTGTTTTCTTTTTCCATAGCGTCACCATGTTAAAAAAAAAAAAAACTAAATAAAATGGTTAGATGTAGATAAATAAAAAAATTAGAATAATCTTAGTTTGAAAATGAATAACCTATTTCATCACTAATGCTAAATTTCAGTAATTGGGTTTTTTTTTACAATTAAGTTATATAAAGAACATGGGAAAATAAAAAAAATTGTTCATTTCCAATTTGAGCCATAACAACTTGTGCTGTATCAGTTTCAAATCATACCACACCTGTACACTTCATTCTCAGAAATGATACAGAATTGATATTTTTATAATCCTTTGTGAAAGATGCAGTTTTAATCCTTATAAAATATTAATAGTTTAATATCAAGCTGTTTCTAAAAGAAACAAACTGCACTACTGAAATCTGTGTCAATCTTCAGTGTCTTATAAAAATAATATTAGGCATTTGCTTCAAATGACAAACTCCTTTCAGATGATAATTTTCTTAAAATATTTTACATAAAAAGCTATTTTTTTCTATAATCTCAATATTTTTGTTCCTATGATAAAATGGTATTTCAATAGTCTTTTGCCAAACTGAAATGAGGAAAATAATAATGCACACATTCACTATATAACTCTTATTTTGGCTTAGATTTCCTCTTACCCTATATGTTTGATCTCTGAAAGGGTAAACTGTCAGGCAGAATATCCAGAGTACTTTGGTCCAGCTGTTTTTCTAGAGAGTTTATAAATGTAATAAAACAAATATTGCCTAAAGCAATGATTTACAACCATGATTTGTAATAGTCTCATGTTTTCTAATTTTCTTAAGGAGCAGTCCTAAATTCTAAATAAATGTCTATATTTATTTGAAAGTTAAAGTAAGTGTAATTTAGCACTTTGAGGATTATAAAAACTTTCTAGTATTTTTATTTTAAATATAATAACTCTTCTAATGAAGTCTTCCAAGGAGAAATATATAAGCATTGATTTTCTATTCCATTTTACTTATAAACATAATTCACTAAGTATGTTCTCCTGATATATCTAAAGTATCAAAAGTTCATCTCAGTAATTTATGCATAAATATAATTTCTCATGCTGTACTCATAGTCAAATGTATGTAAAGAAATACTGATTATATTATACTTTCGAAAATAAATGTCTTTAAATACTGTGATATTATTTACTTCATCTCTGTCCTCTTCTATAACTTGTTGTATTTATTCTATTTTATTCACGATTGTATATTGTGTTTATATTGTAGTTTTGGATACATATAATCTTCCTTCTCTTGAACATAAGGTTCTTTTGTGTAGGAAATCTTATTCACCTCTGAATCACTGTTGCTTTGTCTAATGAATGAATAAGTTAAACAGAAGACCTTCTTACAGTGGGTGGATATTGTGTAAGAGGAGGGAATCAGTCTTGACAGCCACTGAAATAGCTTTCCAAAAATTGTTTTAGAGAGTGGGGAAGGGAGGAAGTCATCTAAGGCAAAAATAATATATTAATTAGTCCTACGAAACAGAGCACTTTTGTACCAAATAAACCACACAAATCAATGTCATCAACTAGATCTCACTACCAGTTTAAGGAATTCTTACTTTTACTTTTCTCTTACATACTTTTACTTAGGTTTTTTTTTTTCTATCAGCCCTCAGTGATCTCTCACGGGAAATGTTTAAAGTCTATTTTGCCTATTTGCACACACGAGAACACGTGCATAGAGTTGATGTAGCTGAACACAGTATGCCTCATTTCATTACAGTGATGATCTTTTTCAAAAGTACATCTATGATCTAAGATCGGCAATTGTTATAATTCAAGGACTGTAATTAATAAATTATTGTATCATTTTCATATTAACTGGCTTCAACTTTTAAACAAAGATTGAAATGAAATTTTCACTGCTAGTAGGCCCTAGAGAAGGCTATGACACTCATAAAAATACAGTAGGATTGACATTAGCCGGAGAAGATGATTTGGGATAGTTTTGGGGGGGAACATATATCACTGGAGGTATTAGTAGCTACTTACCAGTCAATAAATAAGAGAAAAATCAAAGCTTATTCGATAAGAAATCTCCAATATTATCGTTCTAAACTCTCACCAATGATTTTACAAATCAGAAAAACCTAAATGTATTTTCTACAATGAGAAAGAAAACATCAAATAATAGAGCTTTCTACACTTTCAGAAGCTGACAGGAGGTGGGGCTTAAAAATTAAAGTGAAGATTTAATTTGAAGGATTAATTAAAGATGTCTTCGGAGATTTCCGTTTTTCCCCCATTTCTAGCTGAAGGCAGAGGTACGCTCCTAAAGTAAAGAGTTGTTAGGTAAAGGCTGCATCCCAACCTGTCGATTTCCTATCCAAGTTCAGAAGATTCGTTCCGGTTTTAAAACTGAAAATGCTACAAAGCAATATTAAAACACAGCATCTCTCTAGGCGTCTGGTTGAACGCCCGCCAGAGGTTCCCCTCAGAAAGTCACAGCATCTTGCGCTCCCGCAACCGCGAGTGGCTCCTCTGTGATCCTCCTCTTCGATCCACTTTTTCATTACCTTTTCCTATCACCAGAGGGAACAAACCGCTCTTTCAAAGCGCTAGGTCTTTATCTCTCATTGATGCACACATTTAAGGCAGTTTCCCAGAATTAAAGTTCTTTTAAACAACTTTGCGCGCCTCCAAGGCGCGTCTACTTATTCAAAGAGTTTATTTCTTTCATTAACACACCTTCTCTGGTGGAAAGAGCAAGGGAAAGATCGACTCACCTTGTTTTTCCTCTGCAATATCTTGTTGGACAATCTCGAAGGCAGAGGTCGCCGGACCACTCGCCGGGCGCAGGGCATCGAGGGCCGCGTCCTGGGGCCTCTCGGTCCCGCCGCCCCC